TGCATGACAGTGTGCTGGCAAAGACACGTTCTTTCATGTGCAGCACAGACCACAAACCTTAGCTGCATTAGTGTGGTGACAAATCAAACCTAGTAAGAATTTCTGATTGACAGGGTACATTAGCATGGAGCTTGGTCACAACTAGATTGACTAGCTATGTAATGGCATCATATCTACAAAAGACCTTCATGGATGCATCTCATTTCATTCAGTACCACAAAGCAAAACAGTAATGAAAAATTACTTCCATAACACTAAATGCAGTTTCACTATTTTTGAGTCACTTAAAGGCCTTTCATGTTCTGTCCTTTTCTGTAGGACTGTTTTCTTTTTAACCAATATGCTGCAGAGAATGTGCACATTGACTTTTAGTTTATTCCCATAACGAAAGCTGCTAGACACTGCAATTAAATTAAGAAGTCAGACTGGTAGCAGAAGTTACATTTATAAGAATGCGGGAGAAATCAGTGAAGTAAAATGCAAAGGACGTGTTTTCACAGTGGTGCAAATCTTAAAGCTGATCTAACAGCATTAATTCCATAAAGATCTGACTTGAAACATTCACTCTTCAGGAATGTTTTTCCACAGCTTGTGAAGTTAAAAACTAATAGCTGAGTAGTTATCTTTAGATATTACTAAAATAATCCTTCCCTCAGACTTCAGTAATGTAAACTGTATTAATTTATATCTTGGCCAGTATTCAAAAAAAATATCGGGAAATCCAGGAGTACTGCTTACAAGAAGCTTATCTAGAGGCACAAAATTCTACTGTGTAGTGTCTAATTTGGCCTTCAAACTTTTCAATTTTGGCAGTAGCTCTTAAATGCAATTTTGTTTTGTGACCTACACTCCAGGCCTGCTCTTTATAACAAGAACTGCATGAAACTTCAAGGAAATGCTCATAATTAAAACTTTGTTATTTGAATCCACACAGGGTAGATGGCTTTATGCACTGTTGGCATGCCTTGAAAAACCTTTGCTACCTGAAGCTCACTCCCTTATTCGACAGCTGGCAAGACGATGCTCAGAAGTCAGAGTACTAGAGGTAAGATTTAATATAATATTGCGCAAAGGACTTGCTGAACTTAGTATATTATTAGAACGAGGATTTTTCAGTTCTTGAAGTCTTGGTAAGTAATTTTTCACATCCTAAGTTTGCTTGAGAATGGAGGGAAGACTACAAGCACATAACATGGCACGTCACAGCTTTTCTGTTTGACAGGTAACAAAAGAACTGTTCTAATACTTATTTCTCTTCCAGGAGAACAAGAATGAAGAACAAATATCAGCTCTGAACTTGATAATCTGCTTAGTTAGCAGGTAATGCAACTTACATACCTAAAACAGTGAAGTATGTCCAGAATAAATGTGTGACTACTCTTGACCTAACCTAGATTATTTTAAAACGGAAGTCAGGTAAAGTATCTTGGGCCTATGTAGCAAATATACTTAGCTAAAAGGACTTAAGATAAACCTAAGAGTAAAGTAATCTTATTGGTTTCCTCAGATGAGCCCCCTGAACTGCAAAGCTATAATTATGATAGAAACACTAAAAGAAGAGCTAGAAAGCAAGGGGTCTGACAACTCAGAGCAAAGAAAGAAATATGTTGCATTGTATGTATTCCACTTCTCTCCACTAGGTACTTCGATCAGCGTGACTTGGCTGATGAGCCTTCCTAGACTATTTTGAGGGTATCAACTATTTTGCATTGCCATAGTACAAACAGCATTATCAGAGGTAACAGCAAGACACTGCCCTGTTCAGACCTGAAGCACTATACAACCCCTTCAGAACACCCTGATGATGATGCATTTGGGACAACTCAGAATAACTTAAGCTGAGCTTTAGCATGAGGTTGTCAATGTCTCCGGTATCGTCATCACCATCATTGTAAAATGGTCATCATCATCATGAGTCTGGCATCATCTCTCAAGCTACTGTCTCTGTAAACTACATTATCAGTTAGAAATTTCTACCATCTGAGTAATCCTCTGGACACTGCTATTAGGTGAAGTCTGAGGTTCCGTTACAAATGATAGTTCTTTCTCTCACACCTATTGAGGGCTTTTTTTTAATAAAACTGAAGCATTTTAAAGAGTGTTCTTAAAAATTGTGGCTTTTCTCATTCTTCATACCATTTAACAGCAGCCTTGCTATAGGAATCTACACAACTAGGACTGAATGTGTTTTTTCAAGCTTTGCTTCCTGAGCTTAAGCACTGCTGAGCAGTTCCAACTACAGCCAGTAAGTTACTGAAACAATTATTTTAGTAAAACGTAAATGTCACTACTTCCTAAGTACTAATACTAATTTTTAGTAAACAGTTGCAGAAACCAGTGAAAGTTACACAGCTGTATTCAATGCTTTTAATAGAAGCATTTATTAAACAGAATGTACAAATTTATTTTCTCTATGTTATCTCGACAAATACATTAGCTCGCCTATTTATGTATTTAACATGGAGTGCTTTGCCAAGAGTATCAGCATCTGCTTGGTACATACATGACTCCCTCTGGTTCTAATTCTCTTCAACAATTAAAAATCCATGTTAAAGGAACAATGAATTCTGCTGACAGCAGCAAATTGATATACAGTATTAACTGACATCTGCTTTCTCTATATTGTAGAATTTAAGTCCCTCCCCTCACTATTAAAAATAATCATTAGCCACAACCAGTTACTGATAAACATTTAATATGTCTTTGAATGATTGGCACTTTTCCCTCTGGAATGGTAGTCTTAACTGTCAAATGAAAAATCAAAAGTGAATTACAATAACTACTAGAGTTTTAATTCTGGAGATGCAAGTAACAATGATTCTGTGTATGTTGATACCAAATGTCTACCACACTGCAGATGCCCAAAATGTGATGACATTGAAAAGTCAATCTATTAGACATACAGTGCAAGTTATTTCTAGTCTCTTTAGTAACATTTCCAGCACGTTGAAAGCAGGATGAGTTGGCAACTGAAGAACCCATGAAATGCAAGAATACTAGTTAGCTAATTCTCTAGCCCTACGATTTCAAACAAATCTGAGTTAAAGGTGAACAACCACAGCCCTCCCATGAACTAGCAGTATAAGAACCCAGCGTTTTCAGTCACTCAAACAGCTGACCCCTACTGAGTACCATACTACTGTAGTTACTTTCATCTTTGCTAGTTCTACAAACAGTGGGACAGCATTCTGCTAGTTTGAGTTCTGCTCTAGATGTTTCCTAGAACTGCCAAGTTACTCAGCTACAACTAATGTGAGCTAGCATTCACAGTACCTGAAAAGATCAGAATTTGGTCACATCTTAAGCTCAAGTATAATAAACCCCTAGTTACCACATTTATAATCTATAGCTTGCCAGCTTGTAATAGCTATCTAGAAAAGGCTTGATCCATTACAAACGTCAGACCTTTCCTAGAGCTCAGGGAAGAACAGCTTCCACTGTTCTTGCCCACCATGCAACTGGACAACATACACTTCTCCCCACACAGATGGTAGTTACAACAAAGGTGCCATTTTACATGTTAGCTTTTCTAGTAAGCCTGTTATTTACTGGTCTCAAAGCAGAAACTGAATCACTATCACAAGGCATTCTCACATGTGGTGGGTTGACCCTGGCTGGATGCCAGGTGCCCACCAAAGCTGCTCTATCACTCCCCTCCTCATCTGGACAGGAGAGAGAAAATATAACAAAAGGCTCGTGGGTCGAGATAAGGGCAGGGAGAGATCATGCACCAATTACCATCATGAACACAGGGTCCTCCCCAGGCTGCAGGTGGATATCTGCTCCACCATGGACCTCCATGGGCTGCAGGGGCACAGCCTGCCTCACCACCGGCTTCACCATGGGCTGCCGGGGAATCTCTGCTCCAGCACCTGGAGCACCTCCTCCCCCTCCTGCTTCACTGACCTTGGTGTCTGCAAGGTTGTTTCCCTCACATATTCTCACTCCTCTCTCCAGCTGCAGTTGTGGGGTTTTTTTCCTTGCTTCTTAAATAAGTTATCACAGAGGTGCTACCACTGTCGCTGATTGGCTCAGACTTGGCCAGCAGCGGGTCCATCTCGGAGCTGGCTGGCATTGTCTCTGTCAGACATAGGGGAAGCTTCTAGCAGCTTCTCACAGAAGCCACCCCTGTAGCCTCCCCACTACCAAAACCTGGCCATGCAAACCCACTACATCACACTTCTGAAAAAACACCGTAAGTTTCTACTGTGACTCGTTGGCAAGTATAAGGCCTGAACCTGCCAACAGAAAAGTCTTACAGAAAAATTAATTAAAAGTTTTAACAAGATGTTTTCATGCTTACCTACAGCACAACATGTATTGTTATGCAATTCTTCTAACAAGTAGTATCTAGCAAACCCCAATGTCCTCAAGAGTCTCGGTGATGTCTTTATAGCTTCTTGCAGGCCTAATCATCTTCCTGCACACACTCATTACAGAAGTGAGTTGTAGCTAGCAATTAAAAACAATTACGTTAATACTGAGTTTATGCACAACAAGCTAAAACAAATTTCCTTCTTTGGCCAGCACAGATGACCTTAGCTATAAAAGTATTCTGACACAAAAACCAGCTGCTAATTTTATGGAGGTAGGAGAAACTGTTTAACTATGTAGGAATAAGTTCTTGGTTCTACTGCCCCATATCATTCCTACAAAGGAACTAAGCCTCCACTGAACATCCTTAACGAAGGCTGTTCATTCATGTGCTAATGCCTTCCTCAGAATAATACAAAAGCAATTGCTGCCTCACAGTTCAGAGTGAATAGGGAAAGGTAGCAGCTGGGAATTCATGTTAGGTGACACAAAACACATTAGTTTCTTATTCTAATTTAGTCTTGGTCAGGCTTTTACTCTGTTCTCAAAATGTGCCTCTGGTCTTCCACATGTGCTGTTTTGGTAATTGAAATATTTTGCTGAAAACTTTTCAGAAGATGTTTTTACCACGTGGACATTAATACCTTGGTATAGAATAAATTTCATACCAAGATACAAGGATAGTGTTAAGTTATTTTGATGAACATTTATTATGTATTTTGGAATTGTGCTGCACACTGCTATAATTTACAAGCAACATACAAAGCTGAACCAAGATACTGAATCCGCACACAAAGGACTTTTAAGGTAGATACCCAGATTTGAATGTGCTCTACATCTTCTGTATCATCACCTGAAATTTACCTGCAAAAGAAAAAGCAAAGTCAGATCAAAGTATCACCATTACAGTTATTTTTCCAAGTAATTATTTTCTTCTAATCATTTTGTTGAAAAAAAGGAACATTTCAATCCTATGTTTTAACTGTGAACATTATTTAAAAGCCATTATTTAAATTTCACATTTAACTCCAGCTGAACAGCTTTTTCTTTCTTTTATTTAAGTTGATCCATGTCCCACATCACAACAGTTCTGTCAGCTAAATTTAAAATTTGTGCAAAGTCTGTGGAAATTTTTATATCCACCTTAAGCAGCTTGGGTAGTTACAATGGACTTCACTTACTAACTTCCTTAATGACTTCTGTGGAGAAAGGGCATGTATCTGGTGGTTTTTATCTTCACTTGTTCAAATAGCCTTCTGGATGTACATCCTCATGCATTTGATGCTTCCAAATGTAAATATAACTCTTTAGTTTTGCTTTCCACTCAGTATCATAGAGGTTCACCCTCTGACAGTATTTTCTAAACACTAAAGCATTTAGTGACAAGCCATATCCTGAAGTTCATACCGACTCCTATGGCCCAACAGCTTCAAACCAATCCCACCTTGACAAATGCTTATACAGCGATGAAGTCAGTAAGGAAAGTTACCAAGTAAGCTAATTACTGAATACTCTGAAAACTACTTACATGCAGGCATTGATGAAACTTCAGCTGTTACAATACTCTTTATTCCCAAATTCGATAGGCCTCCTCTGATTAGTCCACAGGTAAACGCTAAATACTAAACATAAAGTTGCACTTTAAATAAGTGTCAAGGGTGAAGCTTGTTGCTAAAGATTGAAACTAAGTACTCAAGAACAAGACTTAACACTTGGCCAATATGAAACTATGGAGGTTTTTTTACCATGCTTGAGAGACTTTGTCATGTCTCTAACAGATGAAAGCTCCGATATTTGGTACAGCAGAGCTCACAATACAGATTTCTCGTTTCTATTTCCATTAAACCTGTAGGAACTTAATATCCTTGAAACAAGTATTCCCAAGACATGGCTGAAATTAGCAACTGGTATTAAAGGCAACAAAGGAGAAACAGGCCAAGATAGCATTCTTGCACAGGCCACATCTTAGAATACAAGGGCCTGCAGATATTTAGAGTATATGTTGCAAAGCAGAAGAAACATCTCACCAAACACCAGAAAAAAATCCCAAGGACAGTAGCCTGCAACTTTGATGACTAAGAAGATCAAGAATTAAGAAACCATAAAATGGAACTGAATGCCTCATTTCTTACATCCACCTGAACCAAAGTGCTTTATAAGAAGTGCTGCAGAGGCACTGATTTTACTTACCTAAACTATTACCTAACTCAGCATCTACACTCAAAACTATTTTTAATTGGTAGATGATCTTTCTGAATGTTCATATGATCTCAGAAGCTTGTTCTAGGTAACAAATAGCATCTTCCAAATATGTTTTGGAAATTTTAAAAAAGCTTCTGAAAGCACATGCTTCCCAAAGAGAAAGAAAGAATTTGTGTGACAGTGGCAGATAGTGGCAGACCAGCTCCTACCATCAAGTAACTCAAACATGACAACAGCAAGTTTCACAATGACCACGACCATTTCTTGAACCATAAATCAAATCCACTGTGGGAAAACAAGATACCTTTCTAAAAAGCACAGGTTTTAGAGACTAAACTTTAGCCGCCCTTTTGAAGAGTTTATATCCATTCAATCACATAGTTTAAAGTTATTATTAATCGATCAAGGTAATTCAAATCAAACTGGTAGATCCAAAGGATTAAAACTGAAGGGTACCTTTGGTGCATGTTCTAAATACTGCTTTCCTGCAGACATTTGTGTTAAGAGACGAAATTTATTGTCTTGAAGGACATAAATACCCTGGGTTAAAACAAAAAAAACAAAACAAAAAACGCTTTTTTAGTTGAATATGCAGTAACATGTAATCAACATTTTATGTGAAGGGATTTGATTTGTAGATACAATATAAAAGTTCTCAGCTTGAAAAATGAAATTTTAGATTAAGGCATATGTGATTTAAGTTTAAACTGTATTATTTACTCACATGAAATATCAAAACAAAAGAAAAGATACTTAATTGTGAGTTTACAACAAAACCCCTAGATAATAATATTAACCTTAAGTTAACGCTAAAAAATGTTTATTTACATTCTTCTTGGAAGTGTCCTTCCAGTGCTCAGAAACCATAGTTCCATATTAGAAAGTCTTTGTTAACGTATCAAATGCATGCAGATTTTTACATTAAAATCTTATTCTTCAGTTGGTATGCAATTCACTATTCTTATTCTCAAATTCAGTGACAATTATCTTCTTTAATAGCAATACGGACAACAACACCCAGCAGATGATCAAATTAAGGAGTCTAGTGTTTTCTACATTACAATTTTGTGCCGCATTTGATAATTAAGTACGCATTTTAATAAATTAAGTATGAACACAGTCTAGCTTAATCTACACCTGTCATTTTAATTTCTTTGCTAACGACTGTGCTACTTTGGAACTTCATAACCCTTGAAATTAAGGTCGCATATACAATTGAGACCTAAGCTCAGTACTGCAGCTTTCTTTGAATCCAAAAACAGATTTCTAAGGTAGTTATTATCTGTTAAAGTTATTATTTGATAAACAGCTCACTGAAAAATAAAACCTATTTTATTTGGCACAATCCTCGTACAAATACTCTTTTTCCTTCTTTGATACAACAGGAAAATGGCCATAAGAAAACCAAGCCATTCAAAAGGAAAAAGATTTTTTCTACTCTAGTAAAATGGCTCCTTAAATTATTTTGATCTTGCTTTAAGAACTGTGGTTGTTGATATAGGAAAGGACACAGATACAACGCAATGGCATCAACATGCAAATTTGGGACGTTCTTCAGCTGTTTCTTATGCAAGTATGTTCAGTATAGGGCAACTAAGTGTCTCAACTGCGGAAAAGTGTAAATATTCTTCAAAATTAAAAAATTACTTTAAGGCAGGCATCCTATTTAAATAGATGTTAAGACAGCAATATCACTTTCTCACACTAGTTTTCTACTGAAATTTATTGGGAGGTACGTAAAAAAGTTCCTTTTTAAGTGTTAATCAATCCTGTCAGTTGGTAACTCTGCAACAGCGCATATGAAATTCAAAGCGTTCAGTCTTTTCAACAGAGTGGCAATAAAGATATCAGAAGCAATTATTAAATTGTATTCTGAAGCTACACGAACCTTAAAAAGCTGCTTTTTATAAAAGAATAGTATTTTCAAATAAAGAACATTTTGGGTTTCTTATCAGGTAATTAATTCTAGACCAAGAAAAACAAAAAACGCACTAGTAACTCAAAACTGTTACCGATTTTGTAAGTTAAATCTTATTCTACAGCATTAGTACCTGATGATTAGTCCTTAGGTTATCTATTTGTTTTTTGAATACAGTTGTCCAAAAATCTTTGCAAATGAACTTCATAATATCTAATTCATCCTTGAACCTGGCAGTATCTTTTGTGAACCTAAGAGGTAAGTGAGAAATATATCAATAATGAAAGTACACACGACTGATTAAAAAGAAAACACACAAAAAAATGGTACCAGGCAACATTATTTTGAGGCTGCTATACAAATTAGTTTTCCAGCCGTTGTACTGTATCGTTCTAGCATCACTCTGCGTTCATCCAGTATTTTAACTTAAGAGCAACACAGTGTTATCTTAATACTTGCAACACGACAGCATGCATAAATCGTTTTAATTATATGATTATTAAAGACAGCCAAAGTACAGAAAGATGCAAAGGACCCCATCAGTTTTATCGTCAATGGAATGTCTAAATAGAAGATAAACAAAAAGCTCACACCTATACTACTGCTTGGAAGAAGTCCTTCAAATATGCAAAGAGGCACTAACACAGAGGAACAAACATGTAAAACTTGTTCCTGTTTTGCAAAAAGGGACCTCTTTCTCTCGCTTATTTCAGAATTCTCTCCCTTTATCTTCCTTGCGGGTCTTTATCTGGCACTAAAGCACCACTTTGTTCAACGAAAGCAAGACTTCATTCAGAAGCTCAAGAGTGCACACGACCTCAGGAGGAGGGCGCTGAAGCTGCATGTGCAGCATGTCATTGTGAACCCCCAAAGTGCCTGGGGAAACAAGGAGGCAACGTGCTCGGTCACGAAGATCCAAGGACGGAGAGCACTTTAGAAAAAAGAAACAGCCAGAGCAGCCAATCATAAAATTAAGTTTAAGAAAGAAATTAGAAAGAGAAGAAAATCATGAAACGTACGAGAAGTAGGCAACATGCTAAAGTAGGTCTATAAAAAATGCAATTAAAACGGATTATAAGTATTAAAAGTAACCATATACCCTCACTCAGTTTTCACGATGGAAAGCACTGGGAAAATACATACTCCAAAACCGTCCTGTGGTATTTAAACACATGTCCCCACAACAACGAGATGCCGGAAGAGAGGATGCCAGAACGTGTAATAAGAGGAACACAGCCGCGGCACAACCCTCTGTCCACCCAAAGCAGCCA